GTATTATATATATATATATATATATATATATAATTCTTATTTTTTTTTAATATATATATATATTTTTAATACAATAAAAAGCAAATTTTTTCCCCTGCTGGCAACCGGGACCTAAAGCATGCTAGGCAAGTGTTCTACCACTGAGCTACGCCTCAGCCCCTAAACTTTTTTAACTTTCAGAACTTTTTGAGCTGGGCTTCGTAATAAACTGTAACCCTAGCACTTGGGAGGCTGAGGCAGAAGGATCCCCATGAGTTTGAGGCCAGCCTAAATAGACCTTATCTCAAATTTTTTTAAAAAAATATAGGACCTGTAGGGGCTGGGGATTTAGCTCAGTGGTTTCGCCGCCTGCTGCACAAGTGCAAGGACCCACGTTCGATCCCCGGTACCAAAAAAAAAAAAAATTTAGGACCTGTAGGGAATTTGAATTTTAGTCTAAAATAGCAAATTTTGTATGTTTTCTGATTCTGGGGATTGAACCCAGGGCCTTCAGATTGAGGGACATCTTTAGCCTTTTTTGTGTGTGTGTGTGAAATGGTCTCACTATGTGGCCCAGGCTGACCTTAAACTCAGCAATCCTGCCTCAGCCTCTCAGGAGTTGGGATTACAGACTCACGCCACCACACCTGGCTCATCTCCTTTTCCAATTTACAATTTTTACTGCCATACACGTGTAAGTATAGAGTCTTCTAGTGCCTCTGATTTTCCCTCCCACCTTTCCAGTGTGGCATCCACAATAGACAACTTCTATCTATGAGCTATACTCTGCACCAAATGCTGCCCTGTGGCATTGTGTATGTTACTCGTTTGCTTCACAACCACACTGAGACATAAAATTCATCACTATCCTCAGTGCACAGATGTGGAGACAATGTCCAGAAAAACTTGTCCATGGACACAAGCTAGGAAATGATAGACAGACTTGGCTCCAAACAGCTTAGCTCTAGGGTCCTTCAAAGAGTAGTTTCTTCAGACCGGGGATTTAGCTCAGTGGTTCTGCCGCCTGCCTCCAAAGTGCAAGATCCCAAGTTCAATCCCCGGTACTACCAAAAAAAAAGTAGTTTCTGTGTCTGGCATTGTTCTAAGCCCTTTACGTAAAACATCTCTTGTGCTCTTCACAGCCTGTGAGCTGGAGACTTCTTGCTTATTTTGCAGATGAGGATTTTGTCTCCAAGCATCCAGGCCATAAGTGCAGGCTTATATTGATCAGTGGCAGAGACATCCAAATCTTTCTAACTCATGAGTCAGGGTGAGATCATGGCCAGGTGCAGCTCACGAGCCTGTGATCCAGCACTCTGGGAGACTGAGGCAGGAACATTACAAGTTTGAGCCCAGCCTGGTGCAGTTTAGTGAGACCCTGCCTCAAAAGAAAAAAAATGCTGGGAATGGAGCCCAGGAGAAAGGCTCTGGGTTCAGTCTTCAGTACTGAAAAACAAAAAATTACCCGAGAGTGGTAGTGCACATCTCTAATCCCAGCACTGGGGAGGCTGAGGTAGGATCACCGTGAGTTCAAGGCCAACCTGAACTATACAGCAAGACCCTAACTCAAAAAAAGCCCCCCACCCCCAGTAAACTAGTTTTTGCTAAAACTACTTGGGCCCACAGATGCTGAATAGGTAACTAAAGTAGCACAAAAACGGCATGGTGGTGCACACCCATAATCCCAGTACTCAGGAGGCTGAGGCAGGAGGATCACCGAGAGTTCTTGGCCAGCCTGGGCCACATAGAAAGATCAAGGCTAGCCTGAACTAACAGCAAGACTTTGTCTCAAAAGCGTAAATAATAATAAAATAAAACAGAACAAAACCAAACGACCTTTATTTTGTGGGAGTCTGGGTAGAGTCTACCTCAGCCCTGCGTAGAAGCAGCTCAATCACTGAGGGAGTTTGTTTCTGAAAGTTGGCAAAACAAGGTTTACCAGCTCTAAATTCACACTGGATGCCAGCAGGTGGGATTTACAGGGACTTCCAGCCACACCTGGAGTCCCCGTTGTCCTGAATCTAGGGTCCCTGGATGCCAGCGGAGCCTCACAAGACTGAGCTCGTCCTCTGGGCTGTGAGAGTTCTTCCCATGGGGACCAAATACCCATTCATGAGGGTCCAACCTGAGCTTTGGAACGAGTGGTGGAAAAGAAAAAAGGAAAAAAGCAGGACTGAGAGAAAAAGCGAACAGGGCCTGGCCTTCCACAGCTGCTCAGTGAGAGCTGGCCTCTGTCTTTTTGGTGTTCAGTCTGCAGCTACATAAGCTGGGTCCCTCCCATATTCATGCTTGTGTTCCTTGTTTGCAGATCAGCTTGATCTTTTTTTTTTTTTTTTTTTGGTACCGGGGATCAAACTCGGGTCCTTGCACCTGCACAGCAGGCGGCAGAAACACTGAGCTAAATCCCTGGCCCCTCTTGATCTTTTACTTGTATTTTATTTTACTCTTCAGACAGGGTCTTGCTGTGTCATTTAGGCTGGCCTTGAACTTGCAGCAATCCTCCTGCTTCAGCCTCCCAAGTGCTGGGTTTACAGGCCTGAGCCACTGTACCTGGCAGGACCAGCTTGATCTTTGAGAGATGTGCTCCTCTTTATTTTCTCTTACTTTTAATTACAGCTCTTTTTTTTTTCCCCTACAAACTTGTGCTTTAGTCTTTATTTTCATTATCACTAAAGCAGGAACCTGTGCTAACCTACTTTCCCTTTCATTCATTCAATTAATGTTTATCAAGAATACAGCAAGGGGCCGGGGATTCAGCTCAGTGGTTTCACCACCTGCTGTGCAAGTGCAAGGACCTGAGTTCGATCCCCGGTACCAAAAAAAAAAGTTAAGAACACAGTAATAACAGGAATGTGGTCACACACCTGTAATCCTAGCACTGGCAGGCTGAGGCAGGATTGAAACACTGAGCCCCACCTGGGCAATTTGACAATTTCATAGTTTAGTGAGGCCTTACGTCAAAATAAAAATAAAAATGGGCTGGGGATGTTCAATCTCCACTACAGCAAAACAAAACCGAAACATCGATGACACTATTGTAGGGGATAAGGATATAGCTGCTGCTCTTCCTCTTCTTTCCTCTCTCTCTCTCTCTCTTTCTCTCTGTGTCAGGCATGAACTCAGAGCCTCACACATGCTTGGTAAGTACTTTGCCACTAAGCAGCCAGACCCCATGCCCAGAGATTATTGATTTTAAAAAGTGTGGCCAGGGGCTGAGGATTTAGCTCAGTGGCACTGAGTGGCCTGCCTTGCGAGTGCAAGGTCCTAAATTCAATCCCCAATACTGAAAAAAAAAAAAAAAAAAAGTACGGCCTGGGAATGTAGCTCAGTGGCAGAGTGTCTGTCTAGTTGGCAAGACATTCTGGGTTTAGGGCTGGGGATTTAGCTCAGTGGTTCCGCTGCCTGGCTCGAAAGCACAAAGACCCAAGTTCAAACCCCGGCACCAAAAAAATAAATAAATAAATAAATAAATAAATAAAAGACGTTCTGGGTTTGATCTCCAGAACTATCAAGAAAAAAGGCAAAGTCTCTATTGCCAAAGAGCCTATTTTCTTGTATTCACTCAAAAATATAATAAAAATAACCAATACTTATAGAGTGCTCACCATTCCAGGAACTAGGCATGAACATTTTACCCATCTCAAAGTGCAGCCAGGCATGGTGGCAACAGGCCTGTAATCCCAACACTTAGCAGGCTGAAGCAGGAGGGAAGATTGCTGTGAGTTCAAGGCCAGCCTAGGCTACATAGTGAGTTCAAGTCCAGCCTGAACTACATAGACCCTGTCTCAAAAAAAATCAAAGTGCAAAGGTGGGCACTTGATCGAGGTGACTGGCATGATGGAACCCTTGCAGAGGTGTCCTAGCACTGATACCGTCTCTGCCAGACATGGGAATGAGTTGGATGAATGTCCTCATGTTGGGAGGCGGGGGGACAGCAACGCTTAACGTGGAGACTGACAGAAGGCTGGGCCTGCCTCCTTCTAGGAGGAGGCCTTGAACCAGGCTACCCCAATTTGTTTTGGCCTCCCTCTCTTTTCCTGTTTTTCTTTTTATTATCTTTAAAAATTTATGCCAGTAATCCCAGCACTTGGGAGGCTGAAGTAGGAGGGCTGCTACGAGTTTGAGGCTATCCTGGACTACATAGTTCAAGGCCAGCCTGAACTACATAGCAAAACCCTGTCTCAAAAAAATTTTTTTAAATTAATTTTGCAGTACTGGGGATTGAACACAGAGCCTTCACATTACGCTATCCCCATTCCTTTACTATTTATTTATTTATTATTTAGATTTTTGAGACAGGGTCTCCTTATGTATTCAGGCTGTCCCTGAACTCACTATGTAACCCAGGCTGGCCTTGAACTTGTGGCGATTCTCCTACCTGAGCCTCCCAAGTGGTAGGATTAGCGGCATGCGCCACACTAAGCCTGGCCCCGGCTGCACTTTGAGATGGGTAAAATGTTCACACCTAGTTCCTGGAAAGGTGAGCACGATATA